ATATATATAGTTTTATTATATATAAATAATTTTATTTATGATAGGCAACATATAAATATTTAAATTCATCAACTTCTATGATTATAGAATCAAATATAGTTCAATTTATTATTGCCGATAGTTTAATAAACTTATTCTATTCCTTAATTATTTGATAAATTAAAAAAATTAACATTTTATTATTTTAATTTATTTTATTCTAAATTTACGACTTGAACTACATATTCAAGTTCCTATTCTTTCATCTTTGTAATAATTGTATACTCAACTAATCTAAAAATGATATGTTTAATTTTATCTTACGATGAAACTCTTTTAATTCCCTTGCCTATAAACATTATGAATCTAAGGCTTACAAGATATCTTAGTATGCTGAAATGAAAAATGTTTTCATTTTCTCCTTTTCAAATAATTTCATAAACTTTATGTCTATTAAGTATATTTGAATTATTTTTATCCATAAAATTCCCTTATTTATCGTCATAGCATTTAATAATCATACAACAATAATGGTAGCAGCATATTAAAAACTTGATATAAAATTTTTCATGAGAATTTTCTCTAAATTAAATGAGACTATATTTCAATTAATTAGTTTGATATTTAAATTAGAATAATTTTACTGTTATAAATAATTTAAGGAAATCCTTTATAAAATTATAAATCATAAAAAGCTGTGTTCAAAAAATGATAAAGAAGATTCGGTTTATTGTTTCTAAATCAAAAAGTTGAAATTTCAAAATAAGAGTATTTTCTTAAAAGTTGGTTTTATTTGATATTTGAATATTCTAAGAAATTTTCCATGTCTTATTCAAGCAAGAAGCAGAGTTAAAGGTAAGAGAAAAGAGTTTTAAAATAGATATAATTGTATGAAGATTTGCAATAATCCAAAATTTTATTCCATAATAACATGTAAAGATTAAAAAATAACAATTCATAAATAGCTTATTGTCTCTATAAAATCTAAGGGATTCTATTAACAACATAGCCATTCAAGAAATCTAAAATCTTTCAAAAAAATAAGTAAATTATGAAAACATAAGTTAATGTAGAAAGTAGATGAATTATGTCCTTTGTATTTAAGACCTAATTAAAATTTAAGGTGTTTAAAATGATTTAATTTCATATCTAAATATTCTAGCATATTGATACTCTAATTAGATATTAATAGTTCTCAAATTAAAGAAAAAAAGGTATTTATATTTTTCAATATTTGAAATCCTGAAAGAAGAGAAATAAGAATTCATTTTTAACAATAATATATTCTAGAGGTCTAAATGAAAAAATTTATATATGATCTATTGGAAGTAGAGAAAAACTATTTTTAGAATGGCTTCTTTAAGGTTTTGTATTGCCTGATATATATATCAATTTTTTAAAAGAAGATTTTTAGAGAAGGATATAAGATTAAAATTTCTTATAGGTAACTGAATTATGGAATTCTTAAATAAAATTTCATTTAATTATCCAGCTCCTCACATAAAGAAATTTAGAGAAAATAAATTTTTGCCCTGGCAAAAACTCTAAAGATTATTAAAGTTACACCAGATAAGGTTATTAATGATAAAAGGTAACAGTTTGGTTCTAAAACTTCGGTTTTTATGAATCTACTATAGAATAAACTAAGTTTACATTATATTTAAATTTAGTTAGGGTTTCTTAAAGAAAGTTATGATAGAAGAAAAAGATTTTAATGGTTAAATATATTTTTGAAATCATTAAATCAAAAGATGAAAGAAAAAATAATATTTTAATTTAAACATTAAGTTTTTAAATTAGGCTAAACTATAAAGTAAAGTAAATATCTAATATGGGATACCTAGATAGATACAAATATCATTGGAAGAAATATTTATAACGTCTTTGGAACATGATTCTGTACTATAGAACCACTGTAATCTGTTTGAATAAAGAATTCCAAAATAATTCTTACTATAGTCCATTTTATCTTTAATTGTAGATTAATATAAAATGAACAATGTGTTTAAATTAAAGAATTTAATCAAGATTAAGTGATCTAATGACAGTAAGGGTTAACGTCCAGTTTGAAATTGATTTCTAGATCAAGTTTAGATAAACAGAAATTAGTGATCCTAGTGTGTTGCTCTCTTACTTAAAAAACATCAAAAATTTATGAGTAATAAATAAGATATAATTTGGAAGAAGCTATTTTATTGAAATCAGATAATAGATTCTCAACAATGAAAAGAAGGACGAGATAGAAATAAGAAAATGGAGGCTGAGATACACTTTCAAAGAGAGAAGAAAAATAGACATATTAGTCTGTTCATGAATAAATAAGGAAAATAACCCATCTATTTATTAATGAACTCTAAGGAAGTTAAATAATAATAATAATATTATAAGAGCAATTCCACCATATTTCAATCAGTAGGCGTATTATAATTATAAAATTTTAAGAATTAGAAAATAATAATTGGAAAATTCTATTATCATAAGAACATATTAATTTATGATAACTCCTTTGTCATAATATTCTAAATATTTTCAAACTTTAATTTTTGAAATCTCAATACTTGTTTTTAATTTTTTGTAATATCTGTGAATTGGCATTAACAATTTTGATTTGCAAATCAAAATTAACCATTATAATGGACTTATAAGATGATATATGATTACATTACATTTCATAACTTAATTTAGCCCTTCTCAATTATAATTAAGTTTCATTCCAAACATCTTTCACAATTCAATCTCATATTTTTAGTATTTACAATTCCTAATTAAAACCATTTTGGATAATGTCATTGACTAAAATGTTCTCTATAATTTAATAAATTTAAATTTTAATCTAGCCACTTATTCGAAAGGAAATCATTTTCATCTTGAATTTAATAGTTAATTGAATTATAATTTTGTATTTTGAAATTAGACTCTTAGAATGAAGAAGGATTTGAGACCTATGCAAATAATGTGTAAATTGAAAATTTAATATTGAATCTCAATTATAGTACAATTATACGAAGAACTGATTTTTGTTAAAATTTGCTTAAACCTCTTTCACTAAAGATTTAAATAACAGAAACTGGTTTAATTATTAAGTAAAAAAACAATTTAAAAGCTAATGTTTGTTTTGAAGATTTTTAGGTTAATATTAATTAAATAATTTCTAGAATATCATTCATAAATAAAATGATAATAAGTGAAAAGAAAAAGAGAAAGCTGATGAATTTTTACAAGTTTAAAAAGTTGGAGTATATATATAATTCAGATTTCGATTGATTATAATTTATATAATAACTATAAGTCTTAATTGTATTATTGATAGTGTATTTTTTATATCATGTAAAATATGAATGATGAATATATTATTAATATTTTAATGATTTATCCATAAAATATCGATTTTAATAATTACATTATGATAAAATTTATCTGATTTACAAGATAACATAAATAGTATAATTTAAATTAAATATTTATTTGTTAAATTTATTAATAATTAAATAATTATGAATTAAAAATTTTAATAGAAATAGGATTTTAAATGTAAGGATCATCCTTAAACATCTGCTATTTTCTGGTGTAAATCAATTGATTGTAGAGAGAATAGAATATTTTGCATTAATTGTTAAAAATAATAGAAACATTATTAACATTTCATTGATGATGTTGATGATATTAATTAATTAAACTAATTTTTGATTACTAAATCTAAATAGTCAAAGGATCTTATAACAGAATGTCAACTTTAATATAAATCAACTGTTCAATCATATGAATAATTAATTTCTGGTTTAAACTATAAATTCTGTATATAAGAAGATAAAATTAATGAATTTTAACCTAATTAAGCATTAACAGCACTTGATTCTTTAGTTTTATTTGATGATATGAAGATTCATATTAAATCCAATATAATAGGACCTTTATAGAAAATATAGAAAATTTTAGAAGATCTATATATACAATTAGAATTATAAACAATAAAATATTAGATTTCTGATTAATAAAGAGCAACAAATTAAATTGAATATTAAAAAGGTTCTTTTTTTTATATTTATTTTTTTTAGCTATCTCTTTAAATATAATAAATAAATCAAATGATGCAATTCAAATATTTGATAAATTATTATTAATTGATCCCTTTAATTTAGAATTTATGTATTAAAAAGGTTATTAATTAATAATATTTTAAGCAAATTCATTAAATAAACTAAATAAATAATAAGAAGCATAATAAATATATACAAATATAATTAAAATCAATCCTTAATATGAATTATCATATTGGAAAATAGGTACTTTTTATTTATTTTTTTAGGTGATATATTAAGAGAATAAAAATCTTATTAAAAAGCTAAAGATTATTATGATAAATGCATATAAATTAATAATAATAATTCAGCAAGTTAATTTGGAATAGGTATTATATCAATATATTATTTTAGGTGAATGTTTAAAAGAGACTTACAAATATAATCAAGCATTAGAATATTACATTAAAGCTATTTAATTAAGTTAATCTAATCAACTCTATATATAATCTTATGGTAAATTTAAATTTAAAGTAATTAGGTGATTGTCTAAGAGAATTAGAGAGATATTAAGAGGCTATATAAGCTTATGATTAAATTTTAAATAATTAATCTAAAAATGCTGATGCATCTGCTGGAAAAGGTTAATCATTCAATAATAAATTAAGGAATATGTTTATTGTATTTAAACATGTATAAAGAAGCAGAGGTTTTATTAAAAAACTCATTAACTCTTAAATTAGATTGTATCTTAGGATATTATGGATATGGTATATGATTAAATTAAATGTTAGGATTGTATTTATATTCATAAGATCAATATTAAGATGCAATAAATTATTTTGTTAAAGCTTTGGATATCAATCCATAGCATATTCATTCATTAAATGGAAAAGGTAAATTTAATTCAATTAATCAAAGGTGACTGCCTAAGATTAATGAATGATTATTAATAGGCACTTGAATGGTATCAAAAAGCACTTGATATCAATCCATAANTATAAGTCTTAATTGTATTATTGATAATGTATTTTTTATATCATGTAAAATATGAATGATGAATATATTATTAATATTTTAATGATTTATCCATAAAATATCGATTTTAATAATTACATTATGATAAAATTTATCTGATTTACAAGATAACATAAATAGTATAATTTAAATTAAATATTTATTTGTTAAATTTATTAATAATTAAATAATTATGAATTAAAAATTTTAATAGAAATAGGATTTTAAATGTAAGGATCATCCTTAAACATCTGCTATTTTCTGGTGTAAATCAATTGATTGTAGAGAGAATAGAATATTTTGCATTAATTGTTAAAAATAATAGAAACATTATTAACATTTCATTGATGATGTTGATGATATTAATTAATTAAACTAATTTTTGATTACTAAATCTAAATAGTCAAAGGATCTTATAACAGAATGTCAACTTTAATATAAATCAACTGTTCAATCATATGAATAATTAATTTCTGGTTTAAACTATAAATTCTGTATATAAGAAGATAAAATTAATGAATTTTAACCTAATTAAGCATTAACAGCACTTGATTCTTTAGTGTTATTTGATGATATGAAGATTCATATTAAATCCAATATAATAGGACCTTTATAGAAAATATAGAAAATTTTAGAAGATCTATATATACAATTAGAATTATAAACAATAAAATATTAGATTTCTGATTAATAAAGAGCAACAAATTAAATTGAATATTAAAAAGGTTCTTTTTTTTATATTTATTTTTTTTAGCTATCTCTTTAAATATAATAAATAAATCAAATGATGCAATTCAAATATTTGATAAATTATTATTAATTGATCCCTTTAATTTAGAATTTATGTATTAAAAAGGTTATTAATTAATAATATTTTAAGCAAATTCATTAAATAAACTAAATAAATAATAAGAAGCATAATAAATATATACAAATATAATTAAAATCAATCCTTAATATGAATTATCATATTGGAAAATAGGTACTTTTTATTTATTTTTTTAGGTGATATATTAAGAGAATAAAAATCTTATTAAAAAGCTAAAGATTATTATGATAAATGCATATAAATTAATAATAATAATTCAGCAAGTTAATTTGGAATAGGTATTATATTAATATATTATTTTAGGTGAATGTTTAAAAGAGACTTACAAATATAATCAAGCATTAGAATATTACATTAAAGCTATTTAATTAAGTTAATCTAATCAACTCTATATATAATCTTATGGTAAATTTAAATTTAAAGTAATTAGGTGATTGTCTAAGAGAATTAGAGAGATATTAAGAGGCTATATAAGCTTATGATATAATTTTAAATAATTAATCTAAAAATGCTGATGCATCTGCTGGAAAAGGTTAATCATTCAATAATAAATTAAGGAATATGTTTATTGTATTTAAACATGTATAAAGAAGCAGAGGTTTTATTAAAAAACTCATTAACTCTTAAATTAGATTGTATCTTAGGATATTATGGATATGGTATATGATTAAATTAAATGTTAGGATTGTATTTATATTCATAAGATCAATATTAAGATGCAATAAATTATTTTGTTAAAGCTTTGGATATCAATCCATAGCATATTCATTCATTATCTGGGAAAGGTAAATTTAATTCAATTAATCAAAGGTTACTGCCTATATTAAATGAATGATTATTAATAGGCACTTGAATGGTTTCAAAAAGCACTTGATATAAATCCATAAAATGTTTATTCATTAAATGGAAAAGGTAAATTTAATTCAATTAATCAAAGGTAACTGCCTATATTCAATGAATGATTATTAATAGGCACTTGAATGGTATCAAAAAGCACTTGATATCAATCCATAATATGTTTATTCATTAAATGGAAAAGGTAAATTTAATTCAATTAATCAAAGGTGAATGCCTAAGATTAATGAATGATTATTAATAGGCACTTGAATGGTATCAAAAAGCACTTGATATCAATCCATAA